CCCCAAAACCCCAAAACCCCAAAACCCCAAAACCCCAATAGACAACCCCCAGATTGAAATGGCACTCATGGAATTTTATAAAACCAATTCTACATTTTAACAGGGCTACTGCTCGCTTCAGGACAGAACAAGTATGACTAAGGTTTTGGGTCTAGTTAACTTTAAGAGTGACTTTGTCAAACCTAAAAGCAGTAAGAATCTGCTGGGCTTTGTCTATGTCAATCCCACATCCTTGGATATCCAGTTGTTGTAATACCATTAATAAATGGGAAGAAGTGGAGAGTCCTTGAATTAAATTTAGGAACTCTTCAATACTATTGCCCCAGTCAGTTCCATCCTTTGCTGTTGAACGTTGTAGATTTAACTTACAAATATTCGTATTTCTGAGAGCTTTGGAGAAATCAGGGATTGTTGGCATTGAAATTTTGCATAATATCAGTGCAAATTCCTCAACATGACGATAAGATGCCAGCAATCTTAGAAACTGACGCTGGCTAATCGGAAATCTGCATATACTAATCTTCTGGCATACTCTGTGGCTGATTCTGATAATTGAATCAAAATAGGAAGAATCTTTAATCATACCTCTCTGTTTAATATTAATATTAAAATCGTTGACCTTCGCAGGAAATCCTGATTTCAAAAAATTCAAAATATATCTATTCTTCCATCATATATTATAACAAGTAAACTTGCTCACATCAGGGAACGGAAATGGCGTGATAATTTTCATAAATCCCCTTTCAATTTTATCATCCAAGAAAAACTGAAACTCCTGATAACCATCATCCTCAGAATCAGTACTCGAATCAGAATGAGCTATATCCAGCCCCAATCCTTCCAAATAAACCCTAAAATGCACAATATTTCATATCTCAAAATCAAGATCCTTCACTCCTCTCAAAATCTTTCTCTCAAACCTATAATCCCTATCAAACCCATTCACCAATCCCCCTATAAATCTACTATTAGCCCCATCACAAGCAGTAAGCCCCAAAGCTAGCATAACAAATCTAGTGTTTAAAGCCAGTCATTACAGAACTTGGCTGCCTGGTCACTGGCCTCTTACCTTTGGAGCAGGGGGTTCCTGGTACAACTCTTGTGTGATGACTCCATGACTACTTGTGAGGTAATTGGAATTATATTAATATTTCACTTTTTTTGAAAATATTGGGGTTTTGGGGTTTTGGGGTTTTGGGGTTTTGGGG